GATCCCGTCGCGCAGGCGCCCGGCGTAGCGCTCGCCTGGCGCGGCAGCCTCGGCGAAGTGAGCCATCGCAAACCAAGAGGGCTTGATCGGGCGCGGGAGGGGGATCGATTTCGGGAAAATCGACGCACTCAAGGACATCCGCTTCGGATTGATCTGAGCCAAGCGGATCCATCCCCCTTCCCGCCTCCCTTAGGGCGTTGTTCCTGGACATGTTAACTGCTTCCGCGGGCATTGCATGTCGTGCGTTTGCGGTTTTTGTCCATTGGGTTGAGCCTGCGCCCCCTGCCCTCACCTGCGGCATGCCCGCGGTATTTGCCTCTGCCTACGTCCGAGAAACAAGCCCTCGAAGTCGTGGTCTGTCAATTGGGCCGCGAACGTGGTTATGCCTTTGCCGTGCAATTTGCGGGCGCGCCTACCACCTCAGCCGCGGCCTTTGCCCTTGCGGAAAAAGACGCGACGTGCAGCTCGCCTGAATCTCCTGACCGGTTTCTTCGCATGGCGCCTCCGCCTGCCTTTGGCATGGCGATGTCCTAGGTGCGAATACTGCGCTGCTGCATCGTCACCGCTGGGTAGATCTGACCAATCGAGATTTCAACACAGGTAGAGGAGACCGCATCGGCGTCCGCGCCGGAATCGAAGGCGCCGTCGTGCCCGGAGGGCGGTCGCGTCAGGCGGCGTATAACAGGCGGCCGATGGACAGCCAATCTTAGAGCCAGAAGCCTGTGCGTCGTTGGCTTCTTGGCTTTTGGCTTAGAAAAGTCATGGATTCAATGGGCTCTCTGTCGTTCCAGATGCTATTCGGCATGGCTGCTGGTGTTTCGCTTACTTCGGCATGGTAGGTGCCAGCGCTGCTTCCGCTGAAGATGGGGAACGCTCAGCCAAGTGTCCGCGGCTGCGCAATCGCCTCAGGAATTGGTCGCATGGTTGATGGGAACGTGGCATCTGGTGGCTCAGCCGTTGCGACGGCCGTACTGCTCTGGAGGTGCCCGTTCCCGTGGCGCGAAATAAAACCAGTGTAAGGATCTGAAAGTTGGGCACGTTGAAGCCCGCTGAATCTGCTCCCAGCATGGCCATCTCGAATCGCGTCAGTACTGAATCGATGCGTTCGCCCCTATCGACCCTGAAGTCAGTGGGGGCTGTCCCCGGTGAGCTGTCGCTCGTCCTCAAGGTTTTCAAACTTGGTGCTTAGTAGGTGCATGCTGTGCGTGACTCAGGCGGTGCGTCTACCCTGGAAGGTGACACCATTGTTGATGATGGCGGACGGCGCCCTCATAGTTAGTGTCCTGGCTCGGCTCTGTAGGCCGCGTTGAATTTGCCGCGGCCTGCTGGGGTGGAGTCGCACTTCCGCTCGCGACGTTGAACCATGCGTGAACTTCGCGAACAAAGCCGCGGAAGGGTACACTGCCTGCGGGACACCAGGAGTGACCCCGAGTGCGTGTTTCATCCAATCCTCCTCCTCGCATGTATGCCATGGCAAGATCTAGGCACGCCAATAGAACTCCAAATATATCAACCATGACATAATGCATGGTCATGCTGTAGCTGGTGATGTCAGGTTTTGTATCGTTGATGTTCGTCGCGCCGGTAGGGTTGCGACTGGGTGTCTGGTGGTTTGACGTGGCCGTCAGCTTGCAGGTGGGTATAAGTGTTTGGTTCGTGCGTGGCTTGCGGCCACGCGGTGGGGAGATGGGGGTATAGGACTGTATGTTACCAATTGGTTGAAGAGTACTTGGGGTGTAGTGGCTGATCGCCGGCGCAGTTGGGTAATACTCTGTGCCTTGGTAAGTTGTTATGTACAGAACACCTGATGTAAGAACCAACCACATAAAGATGTGGCCCGCTCCGCGACCAAGTGGGAAGTAAGTGTTAAAAGCTTCACCATGAGGTAGAAGCTGAGGACCCGACTCTTAGGATAACATCGGCGACGTATCGAGGCATCCCACAACTCATCCCTGGATAGCAAGCAAAAAGGAGAGACAAGAGACAGTACATGAGAGGTATACGTGGGTCATTGATAGACGTGGCCTTTGTCTGATACAATGAACTGGATCGAGTCACGCTGTCGTGTAACTAGCAAATGAGGGCTGCGTTGCCTTGAGCCAAGACTGCGGCGGATACAGCCTTCGCTATACAGCCCCACCTTAAACCTCGCTGTAGATATCCGGCCGAATGCGCCAACCACCCGGACGGACGCGCAAAAACGCGCAAGGAAGGGACATGCCAGAAAACCCGCCTCCAAGAACGTCAAGTTTGTTCCAAGATGGCCTTCAATATGCCCCCAAAACAACCAGTATCGCCCCAAGAGAGGCCAAGATGGTCCCGCCACGCCTCCAAGCCAGCCCTAAGACGGCCCAAGATGCCCTCCAGACGGCCCAGGAAGCTTTCAAGACGCCCCGAAAAGGCTCCAAAAGGACCTCCAGGAGGCCAAAATCATCGACGCCCTAAAATGTTGCAATGGTTTTATCATTCTCGCCTTGTCGAGCTCTCCAGACGTCCAAGCCGGTTCCACAGGCCTCCAAGATCGCCCCAAAACGGCTCACGAGACCCCCCAAAGGGGCCCGCAAAACGGCCGCAGGAGGGCCCAAAAGGCCCCCAAGAGGCCCCCAAGACGGCCCAACAAACCTTCACGACGGCCCTCACGCGCCCAAAGAGGGACCCACGACTGCCCAGAGAGGGCCCCGCGGCATCCGAAGGCCAACAGGTCCATCAGAGACGCCGGAGAGGCCCCAGGAGGCCCCCTTAAGAGGGCCCAGGAGGCACCCACGAGGCTCTCAGGAAACCCCAGGAGGCCCCAGGAGGGCTTCAGGAGGCCTCCTATTCCTCCTCCTCCTGCTCCTCCTGCTCCTCCTCCTCCTCCTCCTCCTCGTCCTCCTTTTCATCCCTCTCCTCCTCCTCTCTCTTACTCTCCTAAGTGTTCCCCCCGCAGGGGTTCCACACGGCTGGGGGAACACATATTCCAACAACTTCACCAGACTTCGGCCCAACTTTGGCTGCGTGGGCGCGGGCAAAAGGCAGGTGGCCGCGGTGAGTCGCCGTATGCGTCTTCGATCCGTTGCTCCCTGGTGGTTGTTTATCACAAGGATGCACGGCGTGTTGGATGCCTGGGTGTTTTGGTTCTTTCGAAGGACCTTCCAATTGAGCCTCGGCCCAACCCGCCGACCGCGCGGAACGCCCAGCTAATATATCTTTCTCCAGGGGTACCCCCCCAAGATGGCCCCAAGATGGCCTTCAAGACGGCGGCGATGGCCCTAAGAGAGCCTCAGATGAACCCACGGTGTTTCCAAGACGGGCCAAGATGCCCCCAAAGATGGCCTTACGATCGCCCAGGACGGCCCAGAAGGCCTCCAAGAGAGCCCAAGAGGCCTCGAAGAGGACCTCAGGACAGCCCGAAGAGGCCCAGACCACTAATTGTCCTTAGGCATTTGACGAACTTTGGCGTTTGCTCATTTTCGGCTTGCCGTCGGCCCGGGACGGCCCCAGGTGCAACCAAGATGGCCGCGCGAACGCTGAAGAGGCTTCCGAGGGGGCGATCGTCTGTCTCGGCGTTCCCGTGTTTTGTTGTGTTGATTTGCTTTGTTACTTCGTTGTGTGTTCCTTCGCGTGCTGTTCTGGCTGATCGTGTCTAACGACCGCTACAACAGTGTAGCGCCATCCAAGTTGTACACTAGAAATCAATATGTAAATCACCAACAACTAAATATGTAAATCAGCAACAAAAGGACCTGGTTCTACAGCCACACAAAGCACATTTGTCATCTAGGCAGTGCATATCAATGTGTAAATCGCTCACGAAAGAAACCCCAAGCAAAATCAGACAACAAAACTCTATTTGCAATCCACGCAAAGACAATCAATCCGTAAATCGCCTACACAGGGAATCCTACTGTAAAGCCGCACAACAAAATTTCGCTTACAATCCGAACACAGGGAATCAATTTGTAAACCGCCTACTGACGGATGTCCTTTGAAAGGGGGCCAGGACAGCTTTGGGAGGAGCCCCCCCCAACAAACAAACAATGAGACATGAACTTATCGTTAACCGGGCGGGGTGCGGGGGGCAAAACAAAGCAGCCCGGCGAAGGACCCAACCATTTGCAGTTGCGAGAGCAGCCGTTGTGAGTGTCGCCTTCGGTACATCTCCTTCTGGGTCCACGGAGCGCGCGAAGGGTGTGCCGAAATGAGGCGGGGTCGCCATGCGTGCGGCCAGACATGCCCTGCGCTTCCACAGGCGGCGCGGGGCAGCGATGGTTCGCTGCAGGCGTAGCCAATCATGTTCATAGTGGATTCGCGAAGCAATTCAAATCTGCACCATAGGACCACCCACGTTAGCATTGCAGTCCAACGCAACAAGTAGCTGCTGCTGAGGCCGTGACCCATGCCGTTGCGGGAGTACACCAACAAATGCAAGGTAAACAACCAGACGCGTGCCCTGCGCACCCATGTCTACAATGATCCACGCGCTGCCGACAACTCGAACACCGTCGAACGTATTCATACGCATACTATGCAGCATCACTCCTACACAGCAGACGTGGACTTGTTCAACTCTGACGCGAGATCAATGACTGTGTGTACTTCGGGGTGCCGTGCATCCCGCATTTCTTCATTACATCATCTGTGACATGGCCAAGTGACAACATGATGTATGTGTCAGGGCTGCAAATGCTTCTATACATATTCCAGGGGCGTGCTGATCCAAAGTGTGCACACGATGTTCTACGTATCATGTCTTAGCACTTCAAAAACCCAGCTCGAGCTCACGCAGAAACATGGTCAGCCGCGTCCCAACTTACCTGTTTAGCTACTCTGACCTGGTCTCGGTCGGCAAAGATATATAAGTGTTGCTACGCATGCGTTCACAAGCCGCGCAAATACAAAATAGCCTGGGGATGCAATGGGGAAGCGTCGACCACGGACTTGGCAACCACTCCGCTGCTGTAGCGCGATATCAACACCCACTTCATTACGACGCACTGCCGAACAAACTTACCCCTCCCCTCCCGAAGAATACAGCGCCAGTAAAAAATATCGCGCTGACGTCGTTGTGAGCCTCGCGGCATCTCTTCATGCATCTCTGACGCAGTCCCCGCTCCTGTCTTTATTTCAATAAGAAATAGCATGGCCTGCTCAACGCAAGCTCGCTTACCGAATGCAACCCCTAATAACAACCCCTTCCTTCCAAATCTTCCGCGTCACCGACAAAATGTCGGCCGATCAAAACTCCTGCTCATGAAAGGGGGAACGGACCGGACCTGACCGACTCCGTCATGTGACAGCAGTCTGGGCTTTCGCTGGCCCGCTTCAGAACCTTGTGCGCGAGAAAACCTGGCACAGAGTCTCGCACAAGCTGCATGGGCAGATGTCGACTTTGGGATCGGCTGCCCTCTGGTGCCAACATGATCGCCGCCGTCAGCGGTTGTGGGCCGCCTGCCCACTCACCTGCCTTACCCCGGTTGCCCTGGCCTCCCGCCTGCGCGGTCGTCGTCTCTCCCTCTCTTCCTCGCGCCCTCTTCCTCGCTGGGCAGCATAGCCCGCTGGGAGCTGGCGGCACGACGCGTAACCTGGGCATAGAGCCGGGTCTTCATTTGGCGTTTTGTGCATTCCGATCTGCACGGTCCTTCGCTTAAGCCCGCGTCGCAACGCCTCCAGCACGGCCGTTCATGAGGACGCAGTGCTCAGGGCAACAGGAATGGACCGACTCCGAGGGCGAGGGAACGCGAGGGACTAGAGGAGGTAAGGATCGGATGCCTAGAAGTTGGCACGCATCCAAGGGAAAGGACTCCCGATCTTGGAGTTGGTGGCAACACTCAGGGCACAAACAAAAGCCTGCGTCATTACCACCTTCGAGATATGGGGTCTCCTTTCCTCGGTGAAGGCGACCACCCATATCGATGTTGGTGTCAACCTCTAGGTCCACTCGAATCGCGGTAATGGGCGCCAAGCGATCTGCGTGTCAGGGGCGCGGACCCCTGGCACAGTCCGCGAGCAGCGGTGGGTACAAAGGGGAGCAATAGGAACTGGAGCAAGATGATGGTGAAACACATTCCTGGTGTATACATTTACATGCATACATGCATTCACGTGTATGTATGTTACAAACACAAGAATACCTTTGTGAGTCTGTAGCCGTGCAGCGGGATATAATGGCGATCCTAAATTATCGATTTCGACGCTGCTCGCAGGGGCGAGACCACGGACAACGAGGGGCTGGGGCCCCTCCGGGTCTCGAGATCTCCAAGGCCCCAGGTTTGGCCAACCTGTGTGGGTTCCTCCAAAACGCTGGCCGCAACAACTCCACTTTGATTTCAATCGATCGGTATGTTCGCCAACACCCGTACTATATACAAAGCTTCACTTCCCCACGCAATGCTTGAAGTTGGGATGTTTTACTCCTGTTCTAAAAAACGGGGCAGTGTCTTCGGTCTGGCGGCTATGTGGCCGCCGTCGCCGCTCTCCGTCGCCGCCTCGTCGCCGCCCGTCGCGTGGGCCGTGTCTTCGGTCTGGCGGCTACGTGGCCGCCGCCGCGGCCCCGTCGCCACCTCGTGACCGCACAGCGCAGATTGCACCCCACAGTGCACCACGAGAGTTTGCACCGCATGAGTTGCACCACGTCGACTGCGCAATATTGTTTGCAGAACACAGTTTGCACCACGTCGACTGCACCACGTGGATTTGAACAGGACAGATTGCACCGAATAGAATGCACACCATATATCCTCCTTTCGAACATACAGTTTGCACATGGTCTTGCCCCATCGCCGATCTGAATATGGATTCGCACCATCCCTGCCAGGCTGGTATCAACCCCCCCTTCTCCTCTGCCAAAAAAGCTATGCGTGCGCACTCGTTATTTTTCAACGATCATCAGTTTTCAATCCCGTACACAAAAATAAGGGGGCGACGTGCACAGGCACGCGTCGTCGCGCGCGTGTGCCAGAATTTTTCAAAACAAACCTTAGGTGCCGTGGGATTTCAGCATCTGCTGCCCCCAAAACAAATTAAACACATGGTTTCACTTCGGGGGGGTCCAAACCAGCTTGCGCATGCGCTCTTGCAGATTCAAAAAGTTATCGAACAAACGAAAGTTGCTCAACCTTTTTTTCATCACATGCTGCCGAACGGGCCTTTTCGCGCGCGCATGTCGATATCGATCGGACGCGCTTGCGCGCGTTCTGTCGCAAGAACCTCTTGCAACAAACGGGACGAAGTGCGCACGCGCGCGTCGTCGTCGCGCGCATGGCGGAATCCTTCGAAACACCGAAGATGTTTCGCATGGCTTTCAAACGCGAGAATCACGAATACATATATAAAAGCACATGGCTTCGCAACGCCAGTTGTCAAATAAAGCTCTGCGCGCGCTGTTGCGGAGTCTCAGAAACCATATGTTTTCCCACATTATCTGAATGTGCCAAGCAGGCCTACCGCGCCGCATGTCGAACTCATCTGGGCGCCCTTGCGCGCATGCTGGGGGGGGGGGGGGGGGCGGCACGACCCGTATCAAATAATAGCACGCGGGCCGCTCGCGCGCGTCGGCCGCGCGCGCATGTCAAACTCCTTGCAGAACAATTCATCTCCGACGCGAGGACATCGTCATTGGTATCGGCGGGCGTGATCAACATCGCGCCGTCATTGGCCTTGCCGTCGTCATCGCCACCATCGTCACCATCATCGTTGCTCTCATCATCGTGTCAACCGTTGTCGGCGTCGCCATGGTACCGCGCCCGCCCAAGTCACCGACTCGCACTGAAGTGCCCGCTGGACGTGCCCAGAGATCAGCGCCACCGCGGCCGCGTCGGTCGCGTCGCATTAGCTGGCCGCTGCCTTGCGAGCATGCGCGGTCCAGCGCGGCCGCAGAGATGTATCAGCCAACGGCAAGCACTCATCGCAATCGCCGCCGCATGGGGTTTGCAAGCCAAGTTGTGGGTGGGTGGGTGAGATGATTGCTCGAGCAGTGGGGTTGACAACTCACTGCGAACATTTGTGAATGCTCCTTTCTTCAAGGACATTAGATTCTACCCCCATCCCCCCCCCCGGACTTATGAAGGCCGCATCGCGCATTGCAATCCCACCAGCCCTCTGGGCTTAGGTGGTATAACGCGTTTTGTTTTTCTCTCTTCCCCTCCCCCTACCCCCTCCCCTGGGCCTGGGAGGGGGGGAGGCGGAGGCGCCGCAGCGTCCAAAATTGCCCAAGAAGGCTCCAAGAGGACTTCAAAGTCGCAAGATGGCCTCCAAGATGGCCCATGCTACTTCAAGATAGGTCAATATAGCCTCCGACATACCCCCAAGAGGCCCCAAAACAGCCCCAAGACGGATCCAAGTGCCCTCCGCGCCCTCCACGGCGTCCTCCAAGATGCCCAAACCCTTCAAAAGCCTAGGGACAATTATTGTTTTTGGCATTATCGCCTTTTCGCTTCCGATGGGCTTTGGAAGCCTCAAGATGGCCCCAAGATGGCCCCCAAAAAGGCCCAAGAGGGGCCCAAGAAGGCCGAAGACGGCCCCAAAATCGCCCAAGAGCGCTCCAAGAGGGCCCCAAGATGCCGTTTGAGAGCCTCCGAGGGGGCGATGCTAATTGAGGGACCTCCTCTTTTTGAGCCATGGGGCCCAAGATGACCCCAAGAGTCCTCCCAGCCTCTTCCAAAAGACCCTCCACCCCGCCCTGTTTGGCCCAATATGGCTCCAAGAGAACCCTAGATAGGCAAATCTGGTTTTCAAAATGGCCCAATATAGCCAAGCATGGCTCAAGATAGCCCCCGACAGACCACCAAGAGGCCTCAAGGCAGCCTCAACATGGCCTAAGATAGCCGAGCATGGCTCAAGATAGCCTCCAGCAGCCTCTAGCCGAGCATGGCTCAAGATAGCCTCCAAAGAGGCCTCAAGAAAACGGGCAATCAATTCTAGATGGGCTGGTGGGGATATTGTTTTGGTCGCGGCCACCAGCGAGCGCGCAGGCGGCGAGAGAAGTCGTCCGGGCCGACGGGCAAACCTAATTCGCAGCCGGGCGCGACTCAAACTGGCCGGCTGGTGGGGGTACGCGAAGCGTCAAGAATTTATATCTGATTCTGCCTCCTTCATCATTTCCCCGATGATCTCATCCCAGCCAGGCCAGAGTCCGGCGCCCCCCCTTCATCCATTGCAGCAAATGCTATGCGCGCGCGCTCGTTTGTAAAAAAGCAACAGTTTGCAAACCATAGAACGAAGTGCACACGCGCGCGTCGTCGCGCGCGCCTGCCGAAACCCTTCAAAAACATGGGGTTTCGTACAGAGTTCAATATAAAACATTACAAACACATATGAAACCATGATTTCGCAAAAAGGGTTTTCCAGAACAGCTGGCGTTCGCGCTCTTGCGAATTCTTAAGGAAACTATCGGTGTTCAATCTTTTCCCATAAAAACAGCTACCAAGCGGGCCGCTCGCGCGCGCAAATCGACATCGCTCGAGCGCCCTTGCGCGCGCGCTGGCCCAAGAACTCGTCGCAGCAAACGGGGCGACGTGCACGCGCGCGCGTCGTCGCGCGCGCATGCCAAAATCCTTCAGGAACCTTGCGTTTCGCAGGGAGTTCAAAAACGCGAGTCACGAACACATAATTATAAAGCACAACCTGATTTGCAATATTAATCTTCAAAAGGAATGTGTTCGCGGTCTTGCAGGTTCTTTTGGAAAACCACAGGTTTCCCAACATGTCCACCAATTTGTGCCAAACAGGCCTCTCGCGCCGCATGTCGAACTCATTCGAACCCCCTTGCGCGCGCGCTGGGGGGACGGGGGGGGGGTGCGCGATTCGATGCAGAAAAACTCGCGCGGGCCACTCGCGCGCGTCGGCCGCGCGCACATGTCGAACTCCTCACAAACTTTCATTGCCGACGCGAGGACATCGTCATCCTTATCGGCGGGCGTGATCAATATCGGCGCCACCATTGGCCTAGTCGTCGTCATCGCCACCATCGTCACCACCCTCGCTACTCTCGCAATCGTGTCTACCGTTGTCGGCGTCGCCATGGTACCGCGCCCGCCCAAATCACCGACTCGCACGGAAGTGCCCGCTGGAAGTGCCCAGAGGTCAGTGCGACCGCGGCCGCGTCGGTCGCGCCGCGCAAGCTGGCCGCTGCGCGGGCGAGCATGCGCGGGCTAGCGTGGCCGCGTAGATGAACCAGCCAACGCCAAATACTCATCGCGATCGCCGCCGAATGGGTTCTGCAAACCGAGTGGGGTGTGCTCAAGAGCATGGAGTTTGTCAACTCGTCTGTAATTCCTGGCGACGTACCCAACCCCTGCGCCATGCGGGGCACGAGTGACCTGGGACACGTTATACAAAGGTGATGACGTGACATGGGCGCATATAATTCTGCTAGCGGCATTCGCGAGGCTGGCAGCCCCCCAGGGATGGCGAGGTCCAGCTCATATCTGCGTGGTGCCTCACTCCGCTGGACCCGCCAGCAGCCTTCGAAAGTGGCGACAGTTTCGCAGATTGCAGCCCCCAAGGACGGCGGGGCCACGCTCAGATCTGCACCGTGCCTCAATCCGCTGGACTCACCAGCAGCCCGCGAAAGATCGCAGCCCCTCAGGGACGGCGAGGTCTACCTCAGATCTGCGCGGTGCCTCGCCCCGCTGGGCCCACCGGCAGCCCTCGAAAGTGGCGACAGGGACGGCGAGCTCTCGCTCAGATCCGCGCGGTGCCTCACTCCACTACACCCGCCAGCAGCCCTCGAAAGTGGCGACAGCGTCGCAGATCGCAGCCCCCCAGGGATGGCGAGGACAATCTCAGATCTGCGCGGTGCCTCGCTTCGCTGGACCCGCCAGCAACCCTCAAAAGTGGCGAAAGTTTCGCAATTCGCAGCCCCCCAAGGGACGGCGAGGTCTACCTCAGATCTGCGTGGTGCCTCATTCCGCTGCACCCACCAGCAGCCCTCGAAAGTGGCGACAGTTTCGCAGATCGAAGGCTCCCATGGACGGCGAGGTCTACCTCAGATCTCCGTGGTGCTTCCCTCCGCTGACCCACCAGCAGCCCCCTAAAGTGGCGACAGTTTCACAGATCGCAGCCCCCCAGGGACGGCGAGGTCTACCTCCGATCTGCGCGGTGCCTCATTCCGCTGAACTCACCAGCAGCCCTCGAAAGTGGCGACTGTTTCGCAGATCGCAGCCCCCCAGGGACGGCGAGGTCTACCTCAGATCTGCGCGGTGCCTCCCTCCGCTGGACTCACCAGCAGTTCTCGAAAGTGGCGACCGTTTCGCAGATCGCAGCCCCCCAGGGACGGCGAGGTCTACCTCAGATCTGCGCGGTGCCTCACTCCGCTGGACCCACCAGCAGCCCTCCAAAGTGGCGACAGTTTCGCAGATCGCAGCCCCCCAGGGACGGCGAGGTCTACCTCAGATCTGCGCCGTGCCTCACTCCGCTGGACCCAGCCCTCGAAAGTGGCGACAGTTTCGCAGATCGCAGCCCCCCAAGGACGGCGAGGTCAACCTCAAATCTGCGCGGTGCCGCGGTGCCTCATTCCGCTGGACCCACCAGCACTGTTTGAAAATTGCGATAGTTTCGCAGATCGCAGCCCCCCAGGGACGGCGAGGTCTACCTCAGGTCTGCGCGGTGCCTCTCTCACCCACCAGCAGCCCCCCAAAGTGGCGACAGTTTCGCAGATCGCAGCCCCCCAAGGACGTTCGAGGTCTACCTCCGATCCGGGCGGTGCCTTTCGCTGGACCCACCAGCAACCCTCGAAAGTGGCGACAGTTTCACAGATCGCAGCCCCCAAAGACCTCGAGGTCTACCTCAGATCTGCGCGGTGCCTCATTCCGCTGAACCCACCAGCAGCCCTCGAAAGTGGCGACTGTTTCGCAGATCGCAGCCCCCCAGGGACGGCGAGGTCGACCTCCGATCTGCGCGGTGCCTCACTTCGCTGGACCCACCAGCAGCCCCCCAAACTGGCGACAGTTTCACAGATCGCAGCCCCCCAAGGACGGCGAGGTCTACCTCAGATTTGCGTGGTGCCTCACCCCGCTGGACCCGCCAGCAGCCCTCGAAAGTGGCGACTGTTTCGCAGATCGCAGCCCCCCAGGGACGGCAAAGTCTACAATATCTCAGATCTGCGCCGTGCCTCACTCCGCTGGACTCACCAGCGGCCCCCCTAAGTAGCGATAGTGTCGCAGATCGCAGCCCCCCAGGGACGGCGATGTCTACCTCAGATCTGCGCGGTGCTTCGCTTCACTTGACCCACCAGCAGCCCTCGAAAGTGGCGACTGTTTCGCAGATCGAAGGCCCCCCAAGGACGGCGAGGTCTACCTCCGATCTGCGCGGTGCCTCACTTCGCTGGACCCACCAGCAACCCTCGAAAGTGGCGACAGTTTCGCAGATCGCAGCCCCCAAAGACCTCGAGGTCTACCTCAGATCTGCGCGGTGCCTCATTCCGCTGGACCCACCAGCAGCCCTCGAAAGTGGCGACAGTTTCGCAGATCGCAGCCCCCCAGGGACGGCGAGGTCTCGCGGGAAACAGAAGGCGGGAGGCAGGAGGCGGAAGGAAGGAAGGACGCGCGAGCAATGCTCTATTCAAAGCGAATGCCCAGCCAAGGAGGGTTGTGAAAAATCGAGTGCACCACGCACGTTGCACCACATCTATTGCACCGCATAGGGTGCACAATATAAGTTGCACCACAAATATTGCGCCATGTAGACTGCACCACATATACCGCGCAACATAGATTGCACCGATTCGATTGCACCAGGTGGACATATAGTTCATAACACAGCTTTTTATATATTGCGCCACATCTTTTGCAAATTCTAGATTGTACCACATATATTGCACCACTTAGACTGCACCGCATAGCGTGCACAACCGCGTAGAGTGCAGCACACGAATTGCACCACATGGTTTGCATCGCGTAGAGCGCACAACATCTATTGCGCGACATAGACTGCACCACATAGATTGCACAACATAGACTGCACAACCTCGAATGCACCAGATAGATTGGACAACGTCGATTGATAGAAACTGTTTGGGGTCCACGCTGGCTACCGTGTGCATATGCACACACACACATCAAAACACAGATCTGGGAGGGAGAGAGACAGAGAGAGAGAGAGAGAGAGAGAGCGAGCGAGCGAGCGAGCGATCGAGCAAGAGAAAAAGAGAGTCGACGGCCTGGCGCCGGTGGAGAACCCGCAGCGCGGAGCCGAACCTTCCCTGCCCCTGGCTCGGGGCGTGCTCCCTCGCCCCACCTGCCGCGCGCAAACCCACGGGCGCCGTCCTGGCGGCCGTGCCCCAAGCCTGATGACCCACAGCCCAGGCCGCGGCCGGTGGCTGGCGTTCGTGCTGCTCCTCTTCCTCCTCTTCCTCCTCCTCCTCCTCCTCCTCCTCCTCCTTCTGGTGGCGGCAGCGTCGGCAGCGGCGGTGGGGATGCGGGCGGCGGCGGTGGCGGTGGTAGGCCACGGGCGCCACGGGCGCCGCTGATGCCAAGCGGATCAGGAGATGAAGCTTATGCGCCGGTGGGAACACGCTGGGTGCACGGGCTCGGGACGTCACAAAAGCTGCGCGTGCACCATCGGCGAACGTGGTTGGATCAGCCTCCTAAGTGGAGACGGTGGGGCACCGGAGCCACGAGTCCCTGGTAAGAGCCGCTTGATAGATGAAAGGGCGACGGCGCTGCCATTTGCAAGCCGTTGTGCTGCAAGGGACGCCCAAAACATCTTCGACGCAGAGCTCCTTATTGGGTCCGGGAAGCCTCTGGGCGGCCTCCAATATTTCCCCACAAAACACTCGGATGCTCAAGCTTGCTCATGGGGTTACCCGTTACCCCTGGGAAGCCCCTGAAGCAAGTGGAAGCTTTCAGCAGCCTCAGGGATCCTCCCTGGACGGGACAGATCAGCAGAATTACAAAAGACTGTTCGGGACCCCGTAGGGAGCCTCCAGCAGTTTCCGGGGAACCTCCAGGGCCCTCTGGGAAGCTCCACGCGGCCTCGCCAGAGAGGCATGACGTGGGGGACAGCAAACATGCGGCGGCAGGGAGGCCCACCCGGGGGGTCCCCTGAGGGTGCCCCCAGAGGGGCCCCACGGGAAGATGGTGTGGGACGGCGCTCGACCGCCGTGCCTTGGCGAGGGGGGCTACCCCGTCTCGGTGAGGGCACCCGCGAACGCTAACTGGTTGTGATCTGTCTGGCACGCCCCCCCGAGAGGGCAGGCGGATGGGCCCTCAGGTAGGCCCAGCCCGTCGTCACCATGGCCTGGCAATGCTCGAAGTAAGACTCGTCCAAGAAGGGTCCAGGGACCGATTTCGGGCTAATCATCGCCCAAATTCTCTCCTAGGCCTCCTCCTCCCACTCATTGTCCTCCCACTCCAATTTCCCCTCCTCTTCGCTATCATTTTCTGTGTTCCCTCTTTCTTTCTGCCTCCTGCCCAGCCTGGGCTGGTGCAAAACCAATCGGCGAAAACGTCTTTTACAGGCGGTGTGCTTCACAAGCAGAATCCTCCCCTCCTCGAGAGCTCCCCCCCAAAAAACCCCTCCCCCTTGGAAAGCTGGAAGCTGGGAGAGGGATCTACCGCCCCTGTTGCGCGCCAGCAGACAACGACGAACACGAGGACGGCGACGACGCTGACGACGACGACCGACGACCAACGACCAACGACGACGATGAGGATGGGCCATCAACGCGTCGGGCAGGTCGGGCGGGCGGGACTTGAAAGCGGGCAGCTCGGTTGGGAGGGACAAGAAACCGGGCGGGCGGGCGGCACTTGAAGAGGCGGGCGGGTCGGTCGGACGGCTTCTAGGCGGGCGGGCGGGCCATTTCATGGAAGCATCGCTCATTGACGCTCATTGACGGGGCGAGGCTGGTGGAGAAGACATGCAAGAGAGCGAGGAAAGCGACGACGACGACGACGGGCGGGACACTGAAGCGGGCGGGCGGACGGGATACTGAGTGGAACCTTCAGCGTTGATGTAGGGGAACACAAGCGAGGAAATATAGTGGACACCTACAACGATGACGACAAGGCCAGGGGCCATGGAAAAACAAATGGGGAAATACAGCGGAAACCTACAATGATTACGACGTGAGCGACTCTGAAGTGGGCGGGCGCGGGACATCAATTGTAAACCTCGCTCGTTGATGGGACAAGGTTCGTCGTCGTTTTCGTTAACGTCAGCGTCGTCGTCCTCAGCGTCTTCGCCGTAGTCGTCTTCCAGGTCAGCACCGTCACCGTCGTCGTCATCGTCGTCGTCGCCATGCTCGTCGCCGATTGCGTAGTCGTCGTCGTGTTCGTCGTCGTGATCGTCGTCTGCGTCGTCGTCGTCGCTTGCTGGCGCGCAAAAAGAAGGAAGGGCGACTCTGCATCCCACTTCGGGGGTGGGGCGGCGGGACAGGTTAAGCAGAGAGCGCCAAGGAATTTTGGGAAAGGGCTGGTCAGGACCTTCCCTGCAAGCGCCCACAGAAGACTACCGTGCACCTTGCACACATATATTGCCAAACTCTCTGGTTATCTGGTCCCGAAGCCGTGATGGCCCTGAACCACTGAAAAGGGCAAGTCGACAAACTTAAATAATCAAGGAGACCCTGGCCGAGCCTGAAAACGATGGACGTGCAACATGGTTGTTTATGTTGCCTGGTCATGTTCTCTTTGGTTGTTGTCGCTTGCCGCCTTGCCCTGCACGGAGCTCGACCGAAACTGCCCCAAAAGGGAACGGTGGCGCAAGCGCGATGCCCAGCACGGAAAACCAGATGTAGGACTCCAGCAGGCCCTGCGGCGGCTCTGGCACTGCACATGTAGTGCGAGCGAGGTAGCGCCAGGAGAAAAAGCTGAGCCTAGAGCGTCGACAGGTCCAAGAAAAAGCTTTGAACATCTATTTTAAGACAACGACAGTGTGGACATGGCGCCAATCTGTGACAAACTGGCCGATCAAATTTGCGCAGTGAAAAGACACCATCCTGTAATACAGACACATACACATAACAATCGGATCAATGTGACATTGGATCCAAACGATGCGCCACATTTCATGCTTTCAACACGTTCACTCTTCTATGCGCTCCTGGAATGAAGAAACATATTGCAACGAATCAAGACTGATATGGAAGTAGCCTCGCACCGTGCACATCAGTGGTGTGCATCGATCGCGCGCCGAACGTTCAGCTAGCTGGCTGGCATATCATCCTCGTGCATAACTTTGCCGCCATACTGTTTTGCGCAGGTTTTGCGAAGGCAAGCACGAGGGATATAGAAGAGACACAATTCAAGGACAACTGTTTGTACCGTTTTGGCGGAAGAACGACTCCATGCGCATTTCTGATCACCCGCGGCCCCGACCTGGATATTGGAACTTTTTTTTCAGTGTGCGCACATACTTTCAATGTGCGCGTTCACTCTCAATGATAAAGTAGGCGAGAGGGGGTACATCTCCACGGACGTCCGTCCTGGGAACAAACAGGTGCACACGTTTCCCTCCAACCGCACACCCCAGCGAGCATGAATTCGAGGTCGGATGCCAAAGCGGGCCGCTCGGCACCTGCTCGGAGCAGGCGAAGTGCTCCTCGGAGTAACCGCCAGGGTTTGTAAACTCTACGATGTACCTGAGGACGGCAACTGAGAAATTGCTAACGATATTTGAGCGGGGCGGATCTGGCGATTATCCGGAGACGGCACCTGACGCAGTGCGCCAATATTTTTGTTTGCTCGTTTTTGCGCTGGTCCGCGCAATGCGCGGAAACAAATCATGGTGCTAACGCAACGCCTCCAACGGAACCCAACTGTGCTTCGCATCGCCAAAATGGCAAGGCTGCCGGCATGCGCAGCAACATTCTGCAAACTTAGCATAGCAGAGAGCAGCGAAAGCTCGCCACAAGGACGCACGCAAGCATACTGCTCGAAATTGATGGCGACGACGACACATACGCTGGCTGGCTAGCGCGGGCCACTAGGCTGCACAGCACACGCTTCAGCCACAGGACCAGCTTTATCCATAGTGTCAGTCAATGGCAGCTGTGAGCGTCGCAAAGTTCCTAATAGCCCATCATCTTGGAAAGCCACCCTTCCGGGCTCAAATATCAGACGTCACAGAGATGCCAGCGGTGGGCCAACAACTGACGCCAGGTAATCTGCATAGTGCAACCCATGGCGTGCGATTTACGGGGTTCACCTATCTATGGAGCGCAACCAAAGAGGTGCACTCTACAGATTCACTGGGATGCAACCTTTGAAACGCAATGTGTGGACCCTCGTCTTCTACTTCTGCTGACAGAACTGAACCACTATTTGAATCAACCCCTGCTGCTTACTGCTGATCACAAACGTACTGCAACGTACAACACGCATTCCAAAACAATCTTGGCATGCCCATGTCTCATTACTCGTGTACGCACACAAATAACAACACATCAACCGCTACACCGGATTTTGACAGCCTCTCTCGGTGGAGTCCAGTCACGACGGCTCGCGTCCACGCCGGAAGTACATCCACAGGGGCACCGACTTTCCTCCTGCAAACACCATTACGAAAAGATCACCAAGCATGCTGCATTTCGACCGACAAGTACCATTATGGTAGATCGAACCGTTTCCTAGGATAAATGCGGTTGACAATTTCAGGAAGGCCCCCCCCCCCGGCTGGATTGCAACCGACTCCAGGCGTGCACTACCTAGCAACATCGCCAAACCCGTACACGCATAATCGGCGCACCTGGCAAGTGCGATGCGCCGGGTCAACATCGGCCTTGAGAACGCGGGAGGATGAAACAACGCGACGGATAACACAAATATATCATGTGCGCACGAACAACGGCGTATCGCCCGCAGGGGCGACTCCGAAGCGGGAGCAGACTACGCCTTGCACGTGGGCCGCGAGTCGTGCACGGACCAGGCGCGCATCTGAGTTCCACTAGCCCGCTGGGCATCAACGCGTTAATTTGTTTACCCTACCTGACATCACGGTCACTTGTCCGGTTGCCTCCAAGATGGCTTCGAAAAAGGGCCCCGGGGCTCCCAAGAAAGCCCCAAGAGAGAGACCCGAGAGGGCCTCGACGGCTCCCAAGCTGGCTCCAGCAGGCCTCCAAAAGGCTCCCGGGAGGCCTCTGACTTCAGCATTGCTGGTTTCCTTACGCCCCCTCTCCGGACAACTTACCTGAGCATCGTTTCTGGATGGACTGGTGGGGACTTTTGGGGATCGCGAGCGCAGACGGAAGGGCCGCGCGCCGTCCAAAGCTACAGCTAACCAGGAGGACACTAAATTGCACGCTAGGGGGAGGACAGGAGAGACAACAGCAGAGAGAAAAAAACAACAACAAAAAAGCAGCGGGAGGTGAGACTGCCGGGGCGGGCTGCGCGGCGCTCACGGAGGGGGTGCCATCGGCAGCTAGCAACCGCTGGGGGGTGCACGCCAAAGTGGCGGGAAATAAGCAGGCAGCGTGGCGTCCCGTGGTGACTGCGGCGTGGGGCAATCCTGCGGGATATAGCAGAAGCCGCAAGCGCCTGCGCCTGTCCGAGGGGCAGCACGCGGGGGGCTGAGCGCGGCAAGGGCTACGCATCCCTGCAAGGTGAGCAAGCCTTCCGCACGTCGGAAGCAGCCACTGTGGGTGGCGGCGGAACGAGCGAGTGGCGACGATCGAACAGCAGTTCGCGCCGTGGGACAGGCACGTCGTAAGTAGACTGAAGGCAGACAGCCGCGCGTCGACACCAGTGAACCTGCCAGCTTGCATGCATGCGCTCGACGGACGGGGGTCCGGATCGCCAAAACCGGCAGGACGACTGAGGTGTCGGATCCCGCCCGGGGAGCAGGGGGGAGGAGGGCAGCGGGGTGATGCCAAGGGTGGCAAGGCGGGCTAGCCGAGGAGAGAGGGCCCAGGGGCGCTCCTTTGTGCCGAGCACCGGCGCGTTTGGACCAGGGGGCAGCTCGCCGTGGCGGCAAACCGCGGCAGCGGGAGGGGAAAGGGCCACCCTTCTGTGCCGAGGCGGCAGCGGCCCAGGTGGGAACACCAGGAGCAAGAAAGCAGTGCGGCAGGGAGCACGCCACCGAGGCCACGGCATCGAGGAGGAACACCCTGCAGTATTGGGCGCGCCAGGCTGCAGTAGCAGCAAGGGGGGCGCGGAGTGCGCCGGGAGGGGTGCCCTGAAGAGGGGCAGCGGAGAGGCGGGGAGGGTGACGGGGGGGGGGGCCCTCGACCGTCGGCGACGCGACGGGCCCCCAGCGAGCGGGGGGTGGCCGCGCCCAAGCGTGCTCAGCCGAGCGCGGGACCTCTGCGGGCGCCTGGGGGTGCAGGAGTTACCTCGAGCAGAGGTGGGGCCCTGTGGGAGGGGGCGACCACCACCCCACCCACGGTGAGGCCGCAGTGTTGGTGTGGCGAGGACAAGCAGGGTGAGCAAGCAGCAGGCCCAGGAGGGGATTGCACGGCGGGGCCTCAGCGCTGCTGGGAGGCGACCTGGAGCATTTGGCGCGGCACGCCTGACTAACAGGGAACGCCCATAGGGCCATAGGGACCTCGATGCCCAGAGAGGAGGCCAGTGCTGGAGGCCGTGGTGCTGAGCGAACCTGTGGTGGACGACCACGCCGAGAGCAAGGCCGAGGCCGAAGACAGCGACGTGCCGTTGGAGCAGCGGCGCCTCTGGTTGCGCCCGTGCTCGAGCAGGTTGTGCAGCACGGGCCTGTGGTGGCCGCTGGGGTAGTGCTAGCTGCCAGCGAACTGCACGACTGTGGCGCAGAACGTGGTGCAGTATGACGACACACCGTGAGTATAGCAATGGGCGCAGCCACCGACGTGCTGCGGTTGAACCCGCGAGCGGCCGCCAAGCACGCCGCAATGAGGGATGTGCCAGCGCTGGAGGCCGCGGTGTGGGGCGAGCATGGTGGCCTTCGACGCCCTTGTAGGGCCGAGGGCGTTGTCAGCGAGGTGGCGTTGGTCCCGCTGACCGCGTCGAGAGCGAGCTGAGGGCGTAGCCGCTGGAGCGGTCTGAACGACTTGCGATGAGCCTTGAGGGCCAGGAATGATGCCTCCGTGGATATTGCCCGCCCTCCAGTGGCGGCTGCTGCAGCTGCAGGGCCGGGTGTGGCATCTGCTGCATCAGGGGGGGTCCAGGGGCAGCTGCTGCAACTGTTGCGCCAGGTGCGGAGACTGCTGCCGCTGCTGCTGCGCCATGTATGCGCCTGGTGGCGCCCGGACTTCCCGGGGGCGCGGACAGGAGTGAGCAGGGGTGAGTGCTGCTGCTGCCGTTGCTGCTGAAGCTATTGCTGCAGCTGCGGCAAATGCGCACCCGCTGCAGGGGACAGGAGGGGAGCCCGCCAGGGGACTGGGCGGCTGCTGCTGCTGCTGCAGCACTTGCTGCTGCGGTGAGTGGCGCCGCCGCTGCTGCTGCTGCTACTGCCCCATCCCGGCGCCAGCCCAGGAGACATGCTCCAGCTCCAGCTCTGGCCTCGGCGCCCGCTCCTGCACGCAGACGCCTTCCCAGGGGCGCCAGCTCCAGCTCCAGCCCCCACGTCGTCGTCGTCGTCGTCGTCGTCGTCGTCGTCGTCGTCGTCGTCGTCGTCGTCGTCGTCGTCGTCGTCCGCCTTCCCAGGGGCGGCCGAAGTCGCCATTCATCGGTCGTAATCGTCGGGCGGCGTCGCCAGGGACGCAGCTAACGGCTGCAAGTGCTGGTATAGATGGAACGACCGGGGGCGCAGCTAACGGCTGCAAGTACTTGTGTAAATTGGACGACGGTCGGCGGTCGCAGTCGTCAGTCGGCATCGCCAGGGACGCAGCTAACGACTGCGGTGTCCGCCGGTGTAGTGCCCGCCCCCCAGGGCCCCAGGGGCGGCTGCTGCAGCTGCAGAGCCACGGGAGAGGCTGAATTCGCACCCGTCTGAACTCGCACCCGGCTGAAGTCGCACCAACGGAACTCACGCCCGACATAACTCGCACCAGCGGAACTCACACCCTTGTCCCAGGGGTGGTTTCTGCAGCACCAGATGGGGATCCAGGGGCAGCTGCTGAAGCTGTTGTGCCAGGTGCGGGGGCTGCTGCCGCTGCTGCTGCGCCTGGTATGCACCTCTGCTGCACCAGGGGGGATCCAGGGGCAGTTCCTGAAGCTGTTGCGCCAGGTGCGGGGGCTGCTGCCGCTGCTGCTGCGCCTGGTATGCACCTGGTGGCGCCCAGACCTCCCGGGGGCGCAGACAGGACTGATAACCAGGGGCGATTGCTGCTACTGCCGTTGACACGCACCAGCTGAATACGCACCCGGCTGAACTCACACCCGACAGAAACTCGCACCAACCGAACTCACACCCTTGTCCCAGGGGTGGCTTCTGCTGCACCAGGGGGGCCCAGGGGCGGCAGCTGAAGCTGTTGTGCCAGGTGCGGGGGCTGCTGCCGTTGCTGCTGCGCCTGGTATGCACCTGGTGGCGCCCAGACCTCCCAGTGGCGCGGACAAGATGAGCAGGGGCGATTGCTGCTGCAGCCGTTGACACGCACCAGCTGAATACGCACCCGGCTGAACTCACAACGCCCGACAGAACTCGCACCAGCTGGGCTCACACCCTTGTCCCAGGAGTGGCTTCTGCTGCACCAGGGGGGGTCCAGGGGCAGCTGCTGAAGCTGTAGCGCCAGGTGCGGGGCAGCTGCCGTTGCTGCTGCGCCTGGTATGCACATGGTGGCGCCCAGACATCCCAGGGGCGCGGACAGGAGTGATGAGCAGGGGCGACTGCTGCTGCAGCCGCTGACACGCACCAGCTGAACTCGCACCTGGCTGAACTCACGCCCGACAGGACTCGCACCAGCTGAACTCATACCCTTGTCCCGAACCGTCATTGACGCGGGATACCTCATCACGTGGTCGCCGGCGTCTCCAGGGAGGTGGCTAACGGCCACAAGCACAAGGGTTACGGTAACATAGTTGCCGATGTCGACTCGGGTCGTCTCGTCGTCGTCGTCGACGCCTCCGGGGGGGTGGCTAACAGCCGCAAGCACAGGTGTAATAGAGCCGCCGATGTACTGCCCCGATCCCGGCGCCAACCCAAGACATGCTCCATCTCCAGCTTCCGCGTCGTCGTCGTCGTCGTCGTCGTCGTCGTCGTCGTCGTCGTCGTCCGCCTTCCCATGGGCGGCCGAGGTCGCCGTTCGTCGGAGGGGGGGGGGCTAACGGCCACAAGCACTGGTGTAAATAGTCGCCGATGTCGAGTCGTGTCGTCTCGTCGTCGTCGACCTCTCCAGGGGGGTGGCTCATGGCCACAAGCACTAGTGTGAGAGAGCCACCGATGTACTGCCCCGATCCGGGTACCAATCCAGAGACATGCTCCAGCTCCAGCTCTGGCCACGGCGCCCGCTCCTGCACGCAGACGCCTTCCCCGTGGGCGCCAGCTCCATCTCCAGCTCCAGCCCCCGCGTCGTCGTCGTCGTCGTCGTCGTCGTCGTCGTCGTCGTCGTCGTCGTCGTCCGCCTTCCCAGGGGCGGCCGAGGTCGTCGTTCGTCGGACAGGAGGGGTGGCTAACGGCCACAAGCATGAAAAATAGTCG